TGCTGTCGCAATACTGGTATTGCACTAGCAGTACCAGTATTTCTCCACAAGGTGCCAGTGGTACTCCATCAACACTGACCCCAGTGTGTTCTTACTTCGCTGTGTCATAAGTTTTGCTGAATGACTTTGTTTGTATTATTTCTAGCAAAAATGAATGAATGTTTGTACTTTAACCCACAAAATAAACTTATATATATATAAAAAGTTATAATAATGTATATTTAAATAATTAATAACAACATAACCTATGGGCTGCTGTTTTCTAGGGGGCGATATAGAGAAATTAGGCCACGCCCTACAAATATTGTGATGGATTCCAGTCGGGGAGTGGATAAATATTCATCCTTGTGAGTTTGCAGCAGCTGAGCCCGAAAATGTGGTATTGAGAGCCAAACGTATGGCGATGGCGTTACAGGTAACTTCGCCACGCCGCCATGCCCACCTGCTCTATCGTAGCTGGTCGGGGTTGGATTCCTCAATATACCAACATGTCTTCGGTGTCTGGGCACAGTTTCATGTTGATGAGGTCAAAGGGGTCGGATAGCGAACGTTGACAGTAAAACATTACACTTCCTGTTCTCAGGGGGCGTGGCCTAAGTGATGTCATCATTCGACCATAGGGTAATGTAGGAGACCCGATGATGATCAATCACAGAAACTTTGGTGCGTCTGTGAGTTTCTGTGTAGGAGATATAGCAGTTTATGTTTTTATGGCGAGTAGGTGAACTTTGACCCCTGCTAACCCCCCTTCAGCATACTCAAAAACTCACCGTTTAGATAACTTTAGATGAGACATGCCTTATGAACAGACTGACCGAGTTTGAAGCCGATCAATCGAAATCCCTAGGAGGAGATAGATCAAATATGAAGGCTGTAAACGGCAAAAATGGGGTCAAAACCGAACTTGAATCCAAAATGGCTGACTTCCTGTGGGGTTTAGACCATGGCTCCAAGAGACTTTTTTGTACGTCCTGACAAGGTACACATGTGTACAAAGTTTCGTATTTGTAGGTTAAAGCATGGCTTGGGGCTGATCATTTAAAGTTTTCTAGGGGGCGCTATAGAGAAATTAGGCTACGCCCACCAAATATTGTAATGGATTCCTGTTGGGGAGTCGATGAGGATCCATCCTTATGAGTTTGCAGCAGCTGGGCCCGAAAATGTGGAATTGAGAGCCAAACGTATGGCGATGGCGTTACAGGTCACTTCGCCACGCCACCACGCCCACCTGCTCCATCGAAGCTGGTCGGGGTTGGAATCCTCAACACACCAACATGTTTTCTGTGTCTGGGCACAGTTTCATGTTGATGAGGTCAAAGGGGTCAGATAGCGAACGTTCACAGTAAAACATTACACTTCCTGTTCTCAGGGGGCGTGGCCTAAGTGATGTCATCATTCGACCATAGGGTATTGTAGGACACCCCATGATGATCAATCACAGAAACTTTGATGCTTCTGTGAGTTTCTGTGTAAGAGATATAGCAGTTTATTTTTTTATGGCGAGTAGGTGAACTTTGACCCCTGCTAACCCCCCTTCAGCATTCTCAAAAACTCACCGTTTAGATAACTTTAGATGGGACATGCCTTATGAACAGACTGATGGAGTTTGAAGTCGATCAATCAAAATCCCTAGGAGGAGATAGATCAAATACAAAGGCTGTAAACGGCAAAAATCGGCAAAATGGGGTCAAAATGGGAACTTCAATCAAAAATGGCTGACTTCCTGTGATACTTGCACTATGACATTAATTGTAAATTTTGAGCATCTTGGGGAGTTCTACAAGTGTACCAAATTTCATGTGTCTACGATAAAGTAAGTGAATAGCAGAGGGTAAAAAAGGGTGTTTTTCCAATTTCTAGGTGGCGCTGTAGAGACATTTCTGTTGCAATTTTTGCTACGACTTTAAAATACGTAAATTTTAAACAGGCTTAAGGCCTCCGCCAAGTTTGGTGAGTTTTTGAATATGATAAAGCCCCCAAAAAGCCAATTCATTTGGGTGGAAGAATAATAATAATAATAATAATAAACAATAGGAAAACAATAGGCCTTCGCAGCGCTTAGCTGCTCGGGCCTAATAATAATAATAAACAATAGGAAAACAATAGGCCTTCGCAGCGCTTAGCTGCTCGGGCCTAATAAGAAACAGTAGGAAAACAATAGGCCTTCGCAGCGCTTAGCTGCTCGGGCCTAATAATAAACAATAGGAAAACAATAGGCCTTCGCAGCGCTTAGCTGCTCGGGCCTAATAAGAAACAGTAGGAAAACAATAGGCCTTCGCAGCGCTTAGCTGCTCGGGCCTAATAATAATAATAATAATAATAAACAGTAGGAAAACAATAGGCCTTCGCAGCGCTTAGCTGCTCGGGCCTAATAAGAAACAGTAGGAAAACAATAGGCCTTCGCAGCGCTTAGCTGCTCGGGCCTAATAAACAGTACAGAAACAATAGGCCTTCGCAGCGCTTAGCTGCTCGGGCCTAATAAACAGTACAGAAACAATAGGCCTTCGCAGCGCTTAGCTGCTCGGGCCTAAAAACAAGCTTTTCAATAAAGAAATGTAAAATATTTCCTTAATGAAGACTTTGGATGGATGCAAACATGTAGTCAGGAAAGCAACAAGGTGATCATTACTGATTTAAAACTTTAAAGGACTTTAAAGGAAGTTGTTAATTGTTGATCAGTGGTTCTGTTGATGTGCTGCTCTAGAAATCAGCTCTATAGTCTGCAGCCACTTATATGATCTTGTGCTATTTTTGCTCTTCAAAAAAGTCAAATCTTCAGCTCTTTTGGGCTATATCACATATTTATGGCTTTTATACCTTTTTAGGATATTAAACTTTTTCTAAATGATACATTTTCCAATAAACATACGTGGAGAATTCGATAGCTTTAGGCCATTTAATGTTTAAAAATTACTTTGTCAGACAAACCAAAATATTAAGTTTTGTGAAAATGTTGGCACTTTAGAGCCCAAAATGAAAATAACTCTTATAAATAACACAATTTCAAAATAACAAAATCAGAAAAAAGACAAAAAAAAAAAAAAATAATCCAAATCAATTTATTTCAATATCAAACTTATGAAACTTGTAACCAAAACTGCAGGCTTATGCCTGTCTGGAGATTTTTTTGGGGTGAAGACATTTTACTCAGGTAAGAACAAGAATCATAAAGTCACTCAAGTAAAAGTAAAAAAATAATACAGCGCAGTAGACATACTCTTTGCACATTTCCCCCCCAAAAGTTTCTGAAGTAAATGTAACTGGTTTCAACCCGACTGCTACTTTCGAAGTGAGAAGCAGTGGCTCCAGGTCCAGAGGAAGCTTTGGCCTCTTGTATCTCTGATATAGAACAGTAAAGCCAACCCCCATATAACTTTAGAAGCTAAGCTGGTCTCTCAATAAATCTCTATTTGCTAATCAGGATGTGTCTGATCTGTGTGAGGCATTTATTTATTCCCCGACCAAAGAAGGCAGTGCCTCCCTTTCCCCCATTGAGGACCATTGCCTTAGACTTGAAGTTGGTGCCAGTATCTACCAGAGACCCTCAATGTAACTAGTTATTATGTCTACAGAGATTTTGAACAGAATTGTCAGAGCTCAAAAGTCACTGAGAATCAATCTCTTATTACCGTAATGCCAGGATGGTGAACCAAACCAAACAGCTTTTTGTTAAGGCCTCAAAGCAGCGAGGTATAACAATACAGTCTATTTGTTTACTTCTTAACGGATGACGTCTGTTCAAATGTTAAACGTCTGTAAAGTTTTCAGTAAATTCTTTTACTTTTACTTTCGCTTTTTTTCCACTTTCATTGTTTGCCAGCCTATCGAAAGCGAAATAAAACCAAAAAACAAACAAACAAAAAAAAAACAGCTGGTGGAGGAAATCCCCATTTATTCTTAACAGCTTTTATGCGAATAACGTAAATCATCTGATCCGTCTGACTCAGAGGAAGGACGTGTTGTCGGAGCAAATGGCAGGTAAGGGAAATATTCAAACATATCGAACAGATATTTAGCCAGGAGGAATCCTGACAGAGGAACCATTCCTTCAGGACTGAGCATGGCCATAGTGGGGTGTTTGATGTGTAAATGTTTCTGAGATAAGGTAAAACTGAGATCTATAGAGAGAGTATTACCGTAGTTTCTGCATTGTTGTGCTGTTTATCGTGTTTCACTTTATTCTGTGTCAGAATGTTGCATTATACTCAAGTACCTGGAAGAAAAATGCAAGTCATGCTATTTAATAAAATCAGGACCCCCTTACAACTGTAAATACGTCCATCCTTAGCGCCATCTAGAGGCCATCCGGTGACAGTAACTGTTGGAACCGCGTGGAGGCTTCAGCTGGTCCGTCCACCACCAACACCTCCAAGACTGTCAGGTGAGCAGAGCATCACAATTTATGAGCCAAGGCTTCATAGACTGTATATATATTCCTATATACATACGTATTTATATATATATAGGAATTCATAAACCCCTTTATGAATTCTGCTTTCATAAGGGGGATTTTTTGGAAACAATTTTCCATTTCTAGTAACCTCCAGTAACCTCTGCATACTCAAAACAATCTGACTATGAACACAAATGAAGCTGCTTTCACTTCACGGAAGGGAGTGCATCCGAAAAAGGTTGAAAATTAGTTTTATTTGACCAAGAAGCCTGTTTAAAAGGCAATTTAACTCAGTTGAAAAACAAGAATGATGTTCACACTCAGAAATGGCACGTTTAAAGTCATTTCTACCTTCCTCGATCTGTGTTTGCATTACTGCCATCAAACTATCCATAGTGACCAGCTTTTTGCATTTCTTGCTGGTATTTTGACAACTCCAAATACGCAAATATTATTCCAGTTCAACAGAAATACCTTATCCAAATTTTTAGATTGCTTGTTCCCATACTTATTTTTCCATTATTTCTGTTATTAACACTATCGTTATAGTTTTATTTCCAACTAAGTGGAAATTAATGTTCTGCCTCTTACAGTTACAGCTGCAGTGATGCAGGTCGTCTTCACCGTGACTCGAGTGACCATCGGTTGGTAAACTCCTTCAGCAGCGTTCAATCTTGACAGTCACTTTCTGAACTCACCATCTGCCCACAGGTCTTGTGTATTTCCAGGACTGTCCTCAGCAGCCGAACATCCCTAAATATCTTTTGGGGATAGCTCTGTTCCCCCTGCTGGCTGCACTTATGACGAAAGATGCTGCCCGACCACAAGAGCATCCCAGTTGCCTCAAGGCCTCTTTGCAGTGCTTCCTGTGCCTGTTCATGTTTGTTTGGCTCATATTAGGTACTGAGAAAAACCATAGAAATGTTTCTTAAACACTTTAGAGTTTGTTTTGCTCTGGGCTGTCATGACACGTTGAGGTCTGGTTGAATGTGGAGTTCCTCAGGGAGCCATATCACCTCCGTCCTGTTCTTATATCGCATGTTGCCCCTTGGAGTCGTTCTGTAGTGAACATCAGATTTAATTTTATGTCTGTACAAATGGCATGCAAATACATCTGGGATTAAAAATGAGTTCTGAAATAAACAAATCAAATTTGTAGTACTTGCTCACTGTGTAGAACATGATCCATCTAATACTATTTGTTTTCTACTTTTGTTTTTGGGGGTTTGGTTTTTTTTTTACTATTCTGGTCCACCTTGTCTGATTTACAAAGGTGTTGTGTGGATTCAATAAACCTGACATGTTACTGGATCTAACGTTCTGGTTTTGTTTCATGTACCCACCTCCAGGTGCCGTGTGGGTTTTCGCCGTCTACCAGCCAAACTACGACCCCTCCGCCGCTGATGGCCTGTACTGTAACAAAACGCTGTACACGTTTGCTTTCTGGAACGCCGTACTGGAGACTTTTGGGTTTGTCGTCATCCTGGCTAAACTCTGCAAAGGACTGGTGTGTTATGTGAACTTGAGTCCAGTGGACGCAGATTTTTACAGGAATGTCTGAGGTTCTGTTAGACCACCTGCAAAGAAACTGGAAAATGTCATTGATATATATATATATATAAAGAAAGAAAGAGTCTAAAATATGCTTAAGTAAAAATGGTTGTATTCAACATCTCAATAAAACTGCAGGCTCAGAGAACATTGTTTTGGTTTTACTTTCTATTTTAATGCCGTCTAAGGTGTTGAAGATACCTCTTCTTTTTATTCGCAAACTGGCTCGTCAAGCTACAAAAATGTTCTTGCTTTTAGTCTTTTGTGATGATCATATCCATCCATCCATCCATCCATCCATCCATCCATCCATCCATCCATCCATCCATCCATCCATCCATCCATCCATCCATCCATCCATCCATCCATCCATCCATCCATCCATCCATCCATCCATCCATCCATCCATCCATCCATCTCTGTCTTGCAACTGATACAATAAGTGATAATTCGTGTTATTACACGAGGCACACTATCCTCTATTAAAATGTTAAGTCATATTCAATATTTTGAATTATTTTAATATTAAATGTTTTCTTCCAAATCATGGCCCTGTTAACTCAAAATCTGTGTGAAATTTTTCTACTGTACAGATGGAGCACACTCATCTTTGTTACATTTGGCCCCTTCTTTATTTTTTAACTAATTTTATATTTTAAAAATATTTTTTTAAAATGTTCATAGAACATGTTACCTCGGATGATCATCACATTTGTTACCTGTAATGTTCAATTGCATAAAATTCTAGGATCTATTTCACTACGTATTCACTTCTTACCTGAAATATGTTAAATTCTGTACAACAAATATTCACTTAAAGTGTGATCTATTTTATAACATTTACCTTTATGTTTTTTACTCTCAAATGTTTAATTGCACATTCAATATTTAAAGTTGGACTCTTGTTTACATTAAATGTTTACTACAAAATGTCTGATTAAATAATTGTTTACTTTAATCACATGAAATGCTAATTTAAAAATATAATCTTTCATTACATATATGTTTATTACCTGAAATATTTTAGATATCAAATTTTTACCTAAAATATGATTAATTTCATCACCTGTTTACCTGCAACTTGAAATGCTTGACTCAAACGTTTCATGAATGTTTACCATATTAAATTATGAAATGAGAGAAAACACACACTTCCACATATTTCAACACAAAATTGTTCGTATTCCTCTTCAGAGTGTGCAGCCTTGCTGAGCTCCTCTGCTGGGGTTTCCTCCTCGGCCTCTTGCTCCTCCTCTGTGTTTTATAATGAAAACACAGTCTCTGTAACTTGCTCCCCCACTTGTTGATCCAACATGGTCTTGCTGCATCGCATCTTTAATTGACGCATGTCGGTTCGATGTTGTGGCGTTTACCTCGCAGTGACCCAGATTCAGCGCTGGAACCTAGTCTGGATTGAGCTAATCCATTTCATACGTCGATTTAGACGTATGAAATGGATTTACATATCGAAACACACATCAGTATTAGTACTGTGAATTTGATGACACCAGTAAAATAGTTTACTTCACAATATTGGAATAAACTCGATGTCCACTGACAAAACTTGGACTATGCTGCATAAAAAATATAAGCCTGGCCTAAACAAGGTAGATCCACTTAAATGAACTCAGCATAACTGAACATGAGTAATCCTGACAAAATCATAGCAAAACATTATGACACAACACCTTCAAAGTGAATTTAGCCATTAACAATGCGTGGAGCAAACTTGTAGATGTCTTGGGATGTTGGACAATGTAATATCAGGACGTCTCACCCAGGACATTCGTCTCCTAGCTTCTGATCCAGATCCGACTCTTTGAATGTTCTTACTACAAATGTGTCTAAATCTAATATAGGCCCTTGTTTCAGTAAAGATTAATGCTGTATGCTTTGCTCAGGTAAAGTGACTCAAATCACTTTAGCAATCAGTTCAAACATGTGGGAGTGTTTCTGGAGACACATATACTAGTTTTCAGAGTATATGTGCCATAAAATATCAAGTAAAACTAAATATTTGTCTACATTCATTTCATGTGGACTATAAAGTTTTAGGTCTGTATGTTTTGTGGAGGAAAATTGTTTTACTAAAAGTGTAAATGAGCTTCCGTACGGTAGCTATTGGCTTTTTAGGAAAGACATCTGAGTAAATATTCAACCTCTCAATAAAACTGCAGGCTCAGAGAGCATTGTTTTGGTTTTACTTTCTATTTTAATGCCGTCTAAGGTGTTGAAGATACCTCTTCTTTTTATTCCCAAACTGGCTCGTCAAGCTACACTAAACAAACACAAGCAGCTCATCGAAGAATTCCCCTTTGGTACTTGACGGGAATCAAGTACCAACTTAAACTTTCTGATTTGGAGAAAGGAAGTCCTCTCCATGTAAATGGCAGGTAAGTGGATCATTTTACAGTTTCGTAAAAATATGTCGTAATGTGAGGCCGGGCAGAAGAAATGCATCTGTAATGGGAGTGGTATTTGGTACAAGCATAGATTAGTAATGTTGTAGTTGTTAGCTTGTACTGTTAAAAATGACACAAGATAGAAATCCAACAATGAACATGTTTGCATAGCTGTCCTGTGCCTAAATGTCAATTATTTTTACACTGGATTCCCACCCAGTTACTAGAATCACTAGAATTGAGTAGCATAGAAAAAAAGCTTAGCTTCACGCTTTATTTATTTGGGTAGAGACAGTGTTCTCTGTACACTTTTTTGATCATTTTTAATTCAACTGAACATTAGTACGAAAAAAAAAACCAACACCTGTTGTTTAGCTCCATCTGCAGGCCGTCCAGTGACAGTGACCGTTGGATCCGTTTGGAAGCTTCAGTTGAACCCGTCACCGCCAACACCCATCAGCCTGACAGGTGATCAATAATCAATTATCAATCCAACCTCCCCAGGGTAGTTCACTACAGCAGCTGCACATTTACACGTCTCTTTTTAAAACAGTAAGCTTGTGACACTGTGTAGTTTCTGTATCCATCAATCAATGTTCAGAGGATACTCATCAATGCAGAGTCCCGGTGGGTGGGGCGCTCCAGTGAACCACCGGGTCTCCAGTGGGTAGTAGATGGTTGTACCTCAGACAGGCGGCCAGTCTGTCATTTGATCTCCACAAAAATCCAAACCTTAAAACTATCATTAACAGAGAAAACCCATCTGCTGACTTAAGTTACACTACTGTCAATATCAACACACTGAACTCATAAACTCTTTTAGTCACAACGTCTTAAGTAGAGCTTATATGGGTGCGTCCTTTCCACAGCTAACTGTGAACCATTCCTTTTTTTGATGATTGCAGTCGGAGCTGTAATCACCTGGACTTGCCTCACTGTGGCTCGAGTGACCTTTGGTTGGTAAACTCCTTTTTTTCTTTTTCCAGCAACATTTTGTCTTGCTGTCTTTGAACAATACATCCTGAACTCGCCATCTGTCGACAGGCGTTGTGTATTTCAGAGACTGCCCTCAGCAGCCGAACATTCCCAACTATCTGCTGGGGTTGGCTTTGATTCCCCTGCTCATGATTCCCTTTGTGACTCTGCCCTGTGAGAGCTACGCCGCTCAGCCAAGAGAACCTCCCAGGGGTTTCAGAGCGTGCGTGCAGGGTGTTATTGGCCTGTTTATCTTCGTGTGGTCTCTGTTAGGTGAGGAGGGAAGAATTGGTGAAAATCCTACCAAATATTGGATCCAAGCAGGTCTTTGTGATTGTGTTGTTGTTCCTCTTAATTACACTGTGCAGGTTTATTTATGAATGAACAAAAAAACTGTCAGTGTTTGTCTCCTGTGTGCTCTCTAGGTGATGTGTGGGTTTTCTCGGTCTATCAACCAAACTACGACCCCTCTGCTGCTGACGGCCTTTACTGTAATAAAACCCTGTACACGTTTGCCTTCTGGAACGCCGTATTTGAGACGTTTGGATTTGGAGTCCTCCTGGCCAAGTTCTGCAAAGGAATGCTGTGCTATGTGCATCTGAGTCCAGTAGACAGAGATTTTTACAGGAATGTCTGAAGTATTGAAAGTATAGTGTACGGTTTTATTTATGTAAAAAAAATAAAATAAAAAGAATCTGGTGACATCGTGTTTTGTATCTGAGAAACTAACATATTTTATCAGCTCTTGATTGTCTATTCAGTAATATAAACATGAATAAAACAAGGTTTTAATGAACTAAGAGGGTGACAAGTACTTGGTGAGAACAAAAGTAGATTACATCGATTTCCAAATAAGTTTGCCAACATGGATAAATGTCACAAATATACACACTGAACACAAATAAAACTGCAAATGTGAGGCTCCCAAATTGGATTTCACAAAGAGTCCGTGGGAGGATTTGATTGTTCCATTGCCAGTCAAAGATGTTTCTACTGAAAAACGTTTCCCGAGGGTAGAACCACCGCTACTGCTTTGGGAACGAGTCCCCCATCTGATCCTATCAGAAACATGCGCTGATCAGCCAATCAGGTGGAAGGCAGCGCAGCCGTGCACATGAAAACCAGCTCAGGTCAGCAACCCAGAAAAAAAAATCTCTAAAACATTAACAGTTCATTCGTCCGTCACGTGGTAGTTCAGTCCAGAACAGTCCATCTAACAAAGTGAGAGACCAATCTGCCACTATGACAGGTACGTCCATCGAGTCTCACCTCTTTAAAAAAAACTTTCTGATTGGCCACGTGGCTCTCTTTAGGTGCAGTATTTGTTTCGTTAAAGGTTAATTCCGTATTTTCCGCTCAGAGAAAGTGACAGAGCTGGTCTCAAAGTGCCTGCAGGCCCGGGACCTGGCTTACTGTCCCTACAGCCGCTTCCCTGTCGGTGCTGCCCTCTTAACAGCAGATGGCGCCATTGTCACAGGTAAGAAGCAAACAGGTGACTCCAGCGGAAAATCGCGCGAATGTAGTGTTCAACCGGCTCTTATGTGGTTATAATAAATTAAATTAAATGAATCACTTGGGCAACAAGAGAGTGGTAAAGTTTGACTGGTGGGGAAAAATTGGCAGATTTGCATTTATACACTAAAAGAAAACTGTTTTTTTCATTATATAAATACAGAAATAACTTTCAGCTTATTTGTACAAATCAGTTCAAATAAACTTAAACTCCAACTGCAGTTTAGTTTATAAAAATCAAACTGGCTCAGGGTAGGTGGGTAGAAATTATGCAGCACTTTAAATAAAACAGCTCTACATGTTTTGTTGTTCCCAGGTTGTAACGTGGAGAACGCCTCCTACGGTCTGACCGTGTGTGCCGAGAGGACGGCCGTCCAGAGGGCTGTAGCTGAGGGACATAGGCGGTTCACCGCCATCGCTGTAACATGGTGAGACACTCAGAACTTCATGCCGGTCAAAATTCAAACAATTGACTCGGTCATTGATTCGTCTGTCTTTCCACCCAGTGATATCAAAGACCGTTTTGTTGGACCGTGTGGAGCATGCAGACAGGTTCTCATGGAGGTGAGGTCATCCTGAGAGCTGTTCTGTGTTTTCATATGTTCTACACAGTTTAAATATCTGCTTGATAGTAGAAGGTGCTTAGAAAAGTTCAATTATTCAAAGGGTCGTGGAGATGATTTGTGAGACAGAATTCACTGGAAATGAGGAAAAAATGTCTCCTTGTTTCGTAAAAGATGCTTATTTTTATTTTTTGTTTGTTTGTTTTATCGTTTCTGGTATTTTTTCCACTAAAATAAAAGATACATTTTTCTTTTCTACTCATCTTTGTGTGGATAAAATAATTTTGGGATGACCTGAACTTCATCAGTGACCCAAAAGTTACGCATTTTTTTGTATTCTGACTCTCATATGTAACGTTGACAATATAGCCGCATGTAATGCTTAACTTATTAGACTTGAAGACGTTTCAGATCAAATAGTGAAACTTCAGAGGGAGTTTGATGTGTCAGAGCACCAGAGGACAATCTGTTCTGATAAGATTCGGGAAATAGTTCCTGAGTCAGTCAGAAATTAAATCGCCCTGTTAATAACGGTGATATCAGTTCTTCTTACGTTGCTGTTTCTCTCCTGTTCTTCCTCCCCACAGTTTGGATCGAACTGGACTGTGTATTTGACGAAGCCGGATGGAACTTACAAAGAAACCGAGCTTCGTGAACTGCTGCCTTTAGCATTTTCCCCTGAACACCTTGCAAAGAACTGAAAATGCTTCCACTGCACCTCTGGATGGCCTTAGGCTCGCTGATTTTATTCTGACTAACCTAGAAAAAACAGTAAATATGAAAGCCTGCTGTAGACCTACTATAAACATGTAACCATGCAGTTGATGTAAGTCTATTGTAGTAAAAACAAAAGAAAAGAAAAAACAACTCTATATCAAATTAGAAGAAAGAAATCAGCAATATCATATAAAATTAATATCAAATATTAACATTATATAATATGCATAACAATGATAATAATAATGTAGAATAACTTAAACAGTGATAAGAACAACAATAATTTGTTAGTAGCTTAACGTACAATAAAAAATTATTATTACTCTATGATTGTTGTTGATGTTGTTATTGTTGTTGTGGTAGTCTCATTAAACGGCTATCTTCTTTTGCTCTTCATTTTGTTTCCATCAGCAGGACAAACATATTTGTCTGTCAGAGGCATAATAAGGAGCAGGAAAGAAATTGTCCTCATCGAATAACAAATTACAAAGATGAACTTACATTAAGTAACTTGAACCAAAATGTTTTTTATTGCCATTTTTGTCGTCAAACCCTTTCATTGTGGTGACCATTTCTAAGAAGCCCCTCTGGTGGCACAGAAGAAGAATAAAATAAATAATGGGTACGACTTAATAACTCGTTTCAACGACTTAGTTAATATGTGGCCACGATTTATTTTATTTTTTTTCATTCATTCATTCATTCATCTATCTCTCACCTCGTGAATGTGACATTTATGTAGAAAGAGTTGGGAGCTGAACGAAGTAGGGAAGAAAGTTCTACGGGGCGAAAACGAAAACATTACGTCAGCGTTGTTGTGTCACGTGATTGCACGTGGGCGTGTCGTCGCTGTTTCCGGAAACATGGAGGCTGTTCTGAGTGATGTTGTCGCTCCTGAGGACCTCAAAGTAAGTTTTACATTATTAACCCTCTTACCTCGTCACACAGCGAACGGAGAGGCCAATTAGTAACCGGCACAGATGTCCTCTTGCCTTCACTTGTCTCGGTAAAAGCGGACATTGTGGGAAAACAGCCCACGTCGACACGTCTGTCGCGTCACGTAGCATGCTAATGCTAATGTCCAACGTTGTGGGTTGACGCTAATAATCTAACTCACGTTAATAACCTGCACCCGGTGCCAACAGTAGTTTTCATTTATATGTGGTCACGTGAAAATTTCATTGATGTAAATGTTTCACAACAGACGCTAAAAGTCGATGCTTTTTACTGACATGTTGAGTGAAACAGAGCGGCTCCTGTTAGATGGATTTGGCATTTTAAGCTCTTTTCGTGAAAACTAATTTGTGTTTTTTTTTGTGCTCCAGAAATTTGAGAAGAAATACCACAACGAGCAGCTCAAGGGATCCGTTTCCAAGGAAACCAAGTTTGAGTATGCTTGGTGTTTAATCAGGAGTAAATACACGGATGATATTAAGAAGGGAGTGTTGCTCCTAGAGGGTAAATAAGTGTTCATTATTTCAATTATTCATGTTATTTTCCTTTGTTTCTTTTAAGCAAACCTGTAGGAAATCAGTCACATTCTTTCTGTGGACCGCTTTAGCACACATGTATGTTTTTTTGTTGTTGTTTTTTTTTTGTCTTGCAGAACTTGTTCACAAGTCGTCAAAGGACGACTCACGGGACTTTCTCTTCTACCTTGCAGTGGCCAACTACAGGCTCAAAGTCAGTCATCTTTCCAAATACGATACGAATCTTGTGTTTTCTTTCAGAACGTGCTCAAAATACTCTCTTCTGTGTGAATGGTCTGAGCTTAACAGGTGTGGTTTCTCCTACCCTCACCTCACTATTTATGAACAGGCTTACTTCTGTTTAGATATATGCAATATCACCATCGCATATTGGGTCATTTCTCTTAGTATTTCAATATTTAATGAACACGTTGGTTTTTTTTAATCGTATGTCGCTGTTAGTGGACTTTGTATTCTCTTTCTATTGCCTGTCGTTCAAACCAAAACAACTCTGAATGACAACATGTAATTTACTGAAGTCATAAATCCACACTTTCTTGTAGCCAAATGTTTGTAAATTATAGAAAATGGATTAGCTAATTTAAGTCACCGATTACAAAATTGTCAAACTGGAAACCACACACTTGGCAGGCATAAAGTAGATTAAAAATGCAAAGTATGAATAAGGTGAAAAAGTAAAGAGAAGCAAGAAAAAGAGAAATGTTTGAATGTTTAATGAATGACTTCATTACCCATAACTCTTAGTCTCTTCCCTTGATACAAACGCAGACGTGTAACTGAGTCACTTCCAGAACAATAAGGCCGTGTCTGCTGATTCAAGCATTGTTACCGGTGATGCAACTAGATGTCACTGTGAGTCTGGAAAGTTAATACTTTGAGATTTTCTTGTGGCATCAGTACATTTAAAATTAAACTATTTTTATATGTATATTTAACCATTATATTTTCACTTTTCCTATTGATTGTTTCAGATTCAGTCACAGATCCATTCTTTTTTGTGTGACTGAGATGAAACGTTACTTCAATTCAAAAATTTTTTTCTTTTCCAGCTGATGATAACCCTTAAGAATTTTGACTTTTGCAATTTCAAATATTTTCACAAATTATTGTAGACTTTCTGTTATGTCTAATTTTCTCAACTTGTATTCCTCACTCATGTTTGGTTAAATTTCTAAACCAAATTTCAGAGGTTTCACCTCAGTTTTGAAGGCGTCAAGGAACGTCTGGTGCAACATTTTATCATTTTGTCATTTCAGTGCCTTCATATCAGTCTGCTTTCTCCATCCTGCAGTCTGTTTAGATGTGTGTCTGAAATCACTGTCCATATTTGAATTTGAGTTTCATCCATCTGGTTGCTGAATTGAAGTAAAATTGGAACAATTCTGAGATGGTCTTAATTTATTTTATCCACTCTGTAAAATGCACAGTGGCTACAAAACATATCCTGAGCATGATGCTGCCTCTCCCTGACTGTAGGTCCAGTGAAGTGCTCACATTCGGTCAAATGTGTGCACGTTCTCCTCTTGTCTTTAGCAATATACATATTAGAGTTTTGGGGAAGATCAGCTGTGGTTTTGTTGAGAAAAGAGGAAAATGTGCAGAGAAAATAATGAGATTGTTTGGTTTTTCAGACAGCTTGTTCTCAGAGTATCTAATATCTGTTTGTGGGGGGGTACCTCACCTGCATTCTGGTACGGCAGTGTGCCTGTCTCTGCTCTGTCCTCTGAAGATAACTAATCAGGGCTTTATGGTCTGCAGGTCAGAATGATCTCTCTCTCTCTGCTTTTAAGCTGTAATCTCTCCAACTATGTGCCTCGTTCACCTCACGTCTGATATACAGCTACTTTGATCGTGGTAGATTTGATTTGTTTTCATAATTTTAGGTGACTTCTCTGTTCTCCCGCCCAGGAATATGAAAAGGCCTTGAAGTACATCCGGACTCTGCTGAGGAACGAGCCAGGGAACAAGCAGGCTCTGGAGCTGGAGAAGCTCATCGACAAGGCTTTGAAGAAAGGTAAGCGCGCAGAGAAACAACGTTCTGAAAACGCTTTCATGAATCCACACTCTCACGCCCGCTTGTCGTTGTCCAGACGGCTTGGTCGGCATGGCGATAGTCGGCGGAATCGGACTGGGCGTGGCCGGCTTGGCGGGTCTGATCGGCTTGGCGGTATCGAAGGGAGCAGCGAAATCCTAACCTGGATGAGAAATGTGTTCTGGACTCGTGCGCTGACCTCCATTGAGAAAAAACAAAACAATAACCAAGTGCTAAAAAGAGGTTGGTTTGAAGTTGAATTTGTGCTGCGACACATTTACAGCACACGATGGTTGGAAAAAAAAAAAGTTTCATACTTTAACAAGGTTGAAAATTACATTTTCTTCTGTTCACATATTAAAGCATGTCAGTTTCTAGCTACTTTCCTTACTTTAATTGAAAGAGTTGCCATTTGCTTTCTGTATGTACTTCTAAGACTGTACAGGCTTGTTTCATTGTTTATGGATAAAGGAAAGTGTTACTGTTGCTGCGTAACATGAAGAGAGACTAGCTTAATGTCTGCAGAGAAGTCCAGCTGAAAGCAGCGAACATTTAATTCAGACATGCTCTTTTTTTGTTTGTTGAGAATAAGAACTTATAGAATTTACACATTTACTCGTGTTAAAAGCTTTCTTGACATTTACTATATTTAATTATTTTACATCTTGGTAAATAAAATGACTACAACAATATTTATGTCACTGTTTTTTGTTGGGTTTTTTTTTTTACTGCAAATTATAAAGACTGATAAATTGAGTTTTAAGACTTGGGGCGACAAAATATTGGTGAAATGGTGAAATTGAACCTTTTTATTGAAATCATCAGTATTTCTTTTTTTTGTGATATTGTAACTGCAGGCTGATTGTGTTTTGGCTTTTATAACAAAGCAGAGCAGCAAAGAACCCTGACAGATGTTCAATCTATTCCTGTGTTAAAGATTTACTTGTTTCAATCTCCATTATGTAAAAATCACAATAATAAAAAAAACTGTTCTCCAGTGTTTCAACATTTAAGCAACAATTGAAGAAAATGCAATTATAAGAACATTTCAAGTTTAGTTGGGTTAAGATTAAAATCTAGATGCTGAATTAACCAAACTATAGTAAATATTCCTTCAAATAATTTAAATATTCTTTAGTGACTGCTGACCAGAGTCAAGGTTTATGGAAACATTATTGTGTCAAAACTTCTTTCAAATATATATATATATATATATATATTTTCAAATAGTTTGTGCTGGTCGAGTCATAATTCACAACAAGCAAAAGTTTCTTACTTTTGATATGTTACATAAAACAACCCGTGTGGAAGAGCAGTAACTTCAACATTTCTGCATGCTCCTAATTTGTACAGCGCCCTCTACAGTTATTGGCACATTATTGCACCACAAATCTGAAGTGTGAAGATTGATCAGCAAAGCTGCTGAAAATTGAAACAAAAATGTTTTCAAAACAGCTCATGAGATTTAATAAAGACATAATGGTTGAGCTGCAGAACCAAATTCGTCAGATCACACTGCGTTAAATAAATTAAATATATTTCAGTTCATTTAAAAAAATTTTTTTTTTAAACTTTTTCTCAGTGGCACCTTCCGTTTCTCCACCAACAATGATCTTGGAAACCAGAATCTGCTGCAAACCTCGATTTCAAAAAGCTGCGTAAAAGGATATTACACATTAACTGGACATGAAATTGGCCTGTAATCCAAATGTGCTGCTCCATTGTGTTGGTGCGTCGGTGTGAAAACAATAAAGTGCTGTTGCACTGGATTACACAATAACCTTAATTACAGCGTGATGGGGGCATGCACATTGATCCGGGTTGGATTTCTACATGTCGATTACACATTAATATCCTGCAGCACTCAAAGATGAACGTTGGCCCGGTAACTCAGACTCACTGGAGCGGATCTGAATTAGCACTGCTCTGATGAATCATTGAGGGTAAAAATGCGTTTTCAGCCCCAGTTTTCCTCTCGTATTTTCCTGTTTCTCTCTCTTTTTCCGTCAAACAGATCACTTTCCCTGACAGGTCTGGAGAGTTTCGGTGTCGTCGGGCGGGTTAATGAGTTACCCCCTTCTGAAGCTGATAACGGCACACACAGCTGACAGCCTTCCTGTTGAATCTTTCTGGAGTTTGAGGCATGTCTGACAGAACGTCCGAGAACCCGGGCAGGGTGTTCATATCCAAACCCGTCTCAGTGAGGCCCTTGAATGCTTCCGGCGGTGTCCGACCGCCTCCCATTTTTTAATTAGGCCAATAAAAGACGTCAATTAGGCTGGAGCTGCGATGGACTTCAGCCTCATTGTGAGTCTAATGGCTGACATTTCGGCGCAATTAATGAGCAGCAGCGGGTTCAAGGTAACTGGAAAATTTTCCGCCCTTCAAAACAGAACAAAGTACCAAGAGCAGGCGCCTGAACTTACGCAAAGTTCAGGTATTTCGTAAATAACAACTCCTCTCATTTACATAACTCGGCTAAAATCGTATTTTCTCACATTAGTTTTCGCAAACATTTTCCAGAGTCATTCACGATTCCTTTAGTAAGGAAGCATGAAAGTCCTTTAAAGATCCATTCTGATGGCGACCAAGAGGCCACATTTTGCTGCTGTTTTTAAACTTCAAAAATCCCACTAATGTCCTCCATGCAAGCTTTTTTGGGGTCAGTCCCAGATGTTTCAGACTTTTTTACAAACATTGCTCTGACAGTAGACAGGAGTTATTTCAGTAAGTAGCCATTTCCTGCTCCAGATCAGCACAGCTCTGCCTTTCCCGTCTCCCCCATTGTGAAGAGTTTTGAATGGGATTTCTTCTTAAAAATTTGATTTAAAAAATAAATAAATAAATTATTGTCAAAAAACTGCAATCTAATAGTCATATCTAAATGAGAGAAGCGTAATGAGTGAAAATCCTGTTCAAAAGAAACAGGCCTGCTGTGTTTCAGTCTGAATGGTAAAGCCTCAACCAACTATGGTGCAAAATAAAAGCAAGAGGATTAAAGAGAATCATTAAATTAACTAGAAACAATTGAATTATGGTCAGCAGAAGCCATTCGAGACGTCGCTGAACGTTTTCTACAAGACAGACAAAAAGACATTTCATCTCATATTTACAGAAAAAGACAGATCATCCCATTCAATAAATTAAAATTTTATTGAAGTAAAGGTTCACGTACTTCAGGAATTTAATTCACTAAATGAAACAGTGAAACACATTTTCAAGCAGTTTCTTTTGCGTGTAAATTCCTGCTAATCGCCAATGTAAACATGACATAAGTTTGAAAGATTTGACTGAAGTTGTCACCAGGAAGTGGCCTTGACTTCCTGCACGCCTCCAGAGCGAATATCATCCAGGCAGCTTTCTCTCGCCTCAGAGATGTGATATACAATCTGTGGAGATGTGGTTCTTATCAGTGGAGAAGCTTCCAGATTTATGTGTTTTACAATAAGTCAGAGATATCATTGAGGAAAAGCTTTTAATAACCAAAACTGAAATGTATTATCTGTGGTTTTATTTATCAAGCTCCCTCTCCTGTGAAACCAGCTGCTTTTGCTCATCATATAGATCAGATGATAGACCAGCCCGCTTAAATACTTAATATTAAGACTTCTAGAAAATTTGTTTCTATAATAAATTTGTTTGATGTTGTTTAAATCAATCGGGGTCAAGTACAGCGTCTGGAAAGTGTCCATCAACTCCAATCCACATTTTGTGGGAGTGGTTGGTCAGAACTGACAATTGCCTGACAGCGGCCTGTCAATTATTGTTGTGTTTTGAATGTTGCTTGAATCTGATTGGTGGAGAGAATGTAGACTCTTTTCTGCTTTGTTTTTTTTTTTTTTTAAATTGGATCCTCCCACTAAAATGAATTGCTTGACATGACACATATAATCTGCCACATCCAAAACTTCTAATGTTTTTATTTTCGATGTTCCTCCACGGCTCCGGTCTATGTCGAATGTTTCGTTGACTTTTAAACATTATGCGTCATTAAAGAAAAGGGATTCTCAAAATGTTTTTCCAGAAAGGTGGTGCAATAATTATTAAGCAGTTCAGAGAAGACTCTGTTTAAACATTTATCTGTGCGCTCTTCCATGATGCGCCTCACCATCGCATGTTCATCCCATGTCCCTTTGCGTGGCCTGTTCCTGGAAAGCCAATTAAAAAACACACAGCCTTTCCAGGTATCACTTCGCAAGTCACATAAAGTATTGTTTTTTCAAAGGTAAAGCCTCAGTGAAATCTGCATTCAAACTTATAAACCCGCAGCAGCGAGTCATGGAGTCGGAGGAGTTGTAAAACACGCTTCGCAAACAGTTTGGTTGTAAAACGGGCCGTTTATGGTGGAGCAGGACCCACATTTTAGAGCGGCTCAGGAGTCGGTGACATGGTGAGGTTGTTTTATTTGTTTGGTTTCAACAAGGATGTACATTTCTAAGTTTGACATGTTGATCAGGATGCAGAGCTACAAGTAATCCCCCATCATTTATACCTGTGACATTCTCCATTGCATTGGTAGGTGTGTTGTTTACTTGCCAGTTTCATACGAAGCCACAGCTTTGTCTTTGTACTCTGAAGCATTATCTTTATCTTTCTCACCTTTCGTCACACTTCCACCACAGCCTCAGTGCATTGTTAATGTGGCTTTATTGCGATGGACCAACATTAAGTAATGCACGATCAGAACGAGGAAGCCAAAGGACAAATGGTTGCCTCGATGTTCCGGTTTGTGCCACCGGCTCTCAAGTTTATGTAGGTCTGGACTTTGACTAGGTCATTCCAAAGCAGCAACATGTTTTGATCTAAAAACGTGACGGCTGTTCGTTAAGGCTCTTTTTTCCTGTTGAGAGGTGAAATCTAATCTCAAATCTTATGTTTGAAAACCTCCATTGTGTGAGGATTTGAGTTTTTCTTCGTGTTTATTTTAGGTTTCTGTGTCTATTGAGTCTCCATGTTGTCCTCTCTACCCCTTGATTGTTCCCAGCTGTGGGAACAATGTAGGGGGGGGGACAGCCCGCCCAGCCTGGTTGGGTTGTTTTTTGTTTTTTTCTGTGGACTCTTGCCCTCCGTCCAGCTCCCCTCTGCCTGCCCTGGTTGGGTTGTATTTTTCGTTTTTTTCTTACATAAGTTCTTCTGACTGTTTCTGCATTCCAGCGATTTCTAAAAGTGACTAAAATGGATGTGAATAATTTCACTATTTAATTTGTAGGCTATAATTTGTACATTTGTATTCAACTTTTAGTTAAGACTTTGGAAAAAACTTATTTTTAAAATACATTCAAAGGCAGTAAATATGTTTCATGCCCAAATGTGAGGGAAAGCTAAAACATCAAGCAAAAAACAAAAAAAAGTATCCATAGAGCAAATCCAGAAAACTCTTGAAACCCATTTGTTTATGAATGCATCTTGAATCTTGAACATCCTGTCAATTTTAAACACAGCTCCAACATTAAGGATCAGTTATACAGAGCCATGTTAATTTGATTGTAAGATTGTTTTCTTCTTTCATAAAAAAAATATATAATAATTAAAAACTGTGTTTTGTGCTTTCCTGTGTTTTCTTAAATTTTGAAATTGGATTGATGGTCTGAAACACAAACATGCAAAATGTTGGGAAATCAAGAAACACTATTCCACGCCACTGTAAATAAATATTAACATCTTTTCACACTGATCTAATTTGGAAGCATACAGATAAAAGCTATTTTGATATGATTTGATTTTGTGACAGGAGAGAATTACTGTGGAGGTAATGTGTACCTCATGACCCAGAGTCCAAATCTTTCTGAAATAGAAACACACACGTGGATGTAGCTTAAAATTGAGTATTTAAACTTTATAAGTAACTATATGTTGCGTCTCTTCTATTTTTTTCTAATAATCTGGAGTTATTTTATTTTAGTTTCAGTATAAACCTTTTATTTTGTGAAACAAACACTATGAAAATCCATATTTAGGGTGCAAATATGGATGGAATTGGAGAAAATATTATGCTTTTAATTTTTGTGTTTTTAAAAACATTTATCACAAAATTTTAATGGAAATTTTTTAAAAAAGAAGAAAAAAAAACACTCCACAAAATTACTTTAACTCAGATGACTGAGGTAAAGTGATTTTAGAGACCTGTGTGTGTTCCTGGCTCTGTGTGTTTTATCTACTCTTTGTTATTCTCTTTTATCTTCTACCTTTTTATTCGGTCCTTGGATTCCCAGAACCTCTTGTCCTGAGCAGGAACGATAATTATCAGACATTTCTAGGAATGGTCAGTTGTTTGATGTTTTTCTTTTTTTAACCACATTGCATTTGTGACTTCAAACATGCTCTGGAGATTTCTAAAAAAAAAATTCTTCCCTGAAATTTGTCCTGGAAAAAGCAAAGCTCCAGTTTATTGTTGGCCTATTTCTAGATCTTTATTGTTGACCTTTAAACAGATGAATTTCCCCCTTTATAAATCTTCTCCCTTCTACCAGATTGACAGCTCAATCTGGTAGAAGGCTAAGATTTATCTACTATTATCAGCTGGGCCAACTTAAAGCATTCAGAGGATTTGTCAGCGCTGACCCAGCGGCCCTCACTGGGGGTTATTAATGAGGTCCAACAAACACAGAAACTTTGAGATAAACTGGAGAACTGTGAACCTTTTGTCTCTGCATGGCTGCTTGTTAACCCTTGAGATTAATCCAGTGCAATGCTGACATTTTCGCCCTGCATTCTGTTTTTTTTTTTTTTTTGGGAGAGATCGTCTCGAATAACCAAGAAAACAGAGTTCAAATCATCAGTTCAAGTTATTAGAGCCAAATAAGTGATAACATTGTTTTAGATCAATAGAGAAATAGTTTACCGTTACATCGCTGGTCCACTGCTATGCGTCCTTAAGGGACGACACAGAATGGCCCCGGACAATGGCTTTTGATTCCTTTTAGCTCCCAGATAAGCTACGCCCAAATGACAGCGTTCCCCTGTGATGCAATTTCCTTACGCGTACATGTGTGCGTGGGTGCATGCGAGCATCAACCGGCTAACAGAGACAGAGGAAAAACACAGAATCATTTATCCATAACAACATTGTTCCAAAGAGCTAGGCGTGACACTTGGTGAACGTGTGTTCATGTCCCGTGGCCTTCAGATGTTCGACTCAAAACAATAAAACCTTCTACCGCAGCTCATCGTGAAACTTGCGTTCGGCCACATTCAGACTCAATAACTGGGATCCTACATGAAGAGAAACCCTCAGCATGTCAACTTCTGATTGTTGGTTCAAATAAATTCTTTGACAAAGTTGTTCAAAATTCTGACCATGTCTTTGAAAAATTGATAATTAATAATCTAAATGTGATGCGTAAAAGTTTTTGAGGCATACGTGAAAAAGCATTAAGGACGACTGATGACCATTGGACCTTGAGAGTGAGCCGATAAACACCTGTTCAGTTTCAGTGTAAAAATAAAAAAAGCAGCTAGTGTGTATGTGGGTGTGCATGTCGGTGTGTGCGTAGGTGTGTGTGCGTGTGTGTGTGTGCGTGTGTGTGTGTGTGTGTGGGACAGAGGGAGAGAGTGAGAATGAGGGTGGTGGGAGGAGAAACTGCCAGTCATATAAATGATTATACATATCTGAGGATCCAGGCACATTTCACAGAGGTCATCGTCAACTCAAAGGAGGGTCTCGCTTCCGGAGCTAATTTCTTTCCAAATTAACTGAAAAGAGAGAGAGAAGGAGAGAGAGAGAGAGAGAGAAAAAAAAACAGACTTGGATCTGGGTATTCTATTATTTTCTTTTTGATTATCTGAGAGTTGGACTGAAGAAACGGTCATGGATCCAATTGTGGAAGTCGTGGCTTTGATTCTGGGGTTCATCGGATGGGTGATGGTCGGGGTCGCGCTGCCGAATCGTTACTGGAAGGTGTCCACCGTGGACGGGAGCGTCATCACCACCTCCACCATCTACGAAAACCTGTGGATGTCCTGCGCCACGGATTCAACCGGGGTCCACAACTGCAGGGAGTTCCCGTCGCTGCTTGCTTTGAATGGTGGGTTTTAAAAAAAAGGATGTGACAACTTTATATATAAATATATATTTACTCTACCAACTCAAATTACCAGTGACTTTACCTTGAAGGATCTATAAAAAAGAGTTTATATAATGAGATGTGGAGGTTAAATGATAAGAAGATTTTATAGGCCTGAGGAGACAGTAAACTTTCCTCCGCCGCCACAGATAAGGGCTTTAATTTGCACTTTTTTTTCCTGGTTTATTCCTCCAGGTTATATCCAGGCCTCCCGTGCCCTGATGATTGCATCCATACTGTTGGGCACCTTCGGCCTGGTGGGGGGCCTGGTCGGGATCCAGTGTTCTAAAGCGGGGGGAGAAAACTATGTTCTTAAAGGGAGGATTGCAGGCACCGCCGGGGTTCTCTTCATCTTGCAAGGTAAGGAAACAGATTCAAGAACGTCCGTCTGGGAGCCTTGCTGATATTTACGACTTGCTGATCCACTGCTCTATAAAAAGATAAAGAAACTTCTCTAAAGGGACAATAAATCAAGCCATGGTTTTATTGCGCATTTAAATCATTCCTCCATAAAGTTTTCACTGGGTTCTTTAAAGAACCGGGCTAAATGGACTGGCAGCTTTCTAGCATTTTTATTTCTATCAAAAGGTCTTTGCACCATGGTCTCGGTGTCGTGGTACGCCTTCAACATCACCCAGGACTTCTTTGACCCCTTCCATCCGGGAACCAAGTAAGATGCCAGCAGCAAAGCTGCTCAAAGTTGCACAGCAGAGCTTTAGGTAAGACGTCAGCTGACCGCTTGTCTCTCCGCACCAGGTATGAAATAGGAGAAGGACTTTACATCGGCTGGTGCTCGGCCGTGCTCGCCATCGCCGGAGGAGTCTGTCTCTCCTGCTCCTGCAAAGCGGGCACAAAGGAAAAATAGTGAGTTCCCATCCATGCTGTGTTTGATATTCAGAGAGCTGCAAAAAGGTGTCTGCCGAATGGACAGTTACAGTTTGACGAGGCCACGTTGTTGATTAACTACAATTAATCAAAGTCTTTAGTATGCCGCACACTGAGAGGCGTGGTTGGGATGGCGGTGAACCGGCTGAAACATAAATACTCCCAAGAGTAAAAACAAAAATGAGATTCAATTAGAGCTACTGGAAACGCTGCGGACTGATTTTGTCTTGAGGTGGAAACACCAGGAGGAGGTCAGGGGTCAGCAACTTGTTTGGTCCAGTCGGGATCAATTTGTAACACTGATTCCATCGGAGCTGCAAATCCTCCTTGACCCTTAAGAAAAAGATCATTAATCTGCCTCTAAAAAAAAAAAAAATTTAAATGTGTTTACTGTTAATAAAAAAAAACCTACACTTTTTATACTAGAACAAAGCTAAATAAATCACGTAGATTTCATCTGAGTGACTTTAAAGGACTTGCCAAAAAACATTTATTTTGACCATTTGTGCCACCTGCAAGGGAAGTTTTACACAAATTATTGAATCAGACACATAGACTGATTAATTTAGCATTTAATGTAACCTCGTTACATTAAACAAGAGGGATAATTTCTTTATAATTTTTGATAAAGTTTGTGAGGTGGAAAAAGAGCCAAGTAGCTCTCGACTCCTGGTTTAGGCGAAAAATGAAGATTCCAGCATGCACTTGGTTTTAAACAGTTCGACTTTAGCGCCACCTAGTGTCGCAATAAAAACAGAGCGACAGCCAGCGTGTATGCATCGCATATAATAAAGTATTTACAAAAACAGCAGCAATGTTTTAGTGTAACCTTAGAAGGCTCACTTTATCAGCATATTGTTATAAATACATTAAAAAGCAGAAATGTTGTCCTAACGTATGAAAAAAATCAACCCTAGGTGGAAAAAACATTGTATTTTACGCTGACTTTTGAATCCAGTTGATGAACTATCTTGTTCACCAACAAGATAGTTAAACAACTAAAGTTTGAAAAATTGTATGTGAATGGAGAGAAGGGAAGTTTGAGCATAGTGCCGCGCACCGTGTTTGCAGAAAACCAGACAGCACATCAGGTCAAAGCCTTATGCAAAGTGTTAGGCACGGTGGTGGAAGAGTGATGACACGGGACATGATGCCAATCTTAGAGTCACTCATGAAATCCACTGTATACCAACCCGTATTTGGAGCTATATATGAGGCAATCCAAAGTTTGGCATTTTGGATTTCTTTCTGGTAAATGAACAATAAATTAGTTTATGTTTGTATTTCCATGAACTTTTATTTTGAAACCCAGAGAAGACCGACTCTTTTACAAGTTAATGCATCAACATATAACATAAAAACTGAGAGTGAACCTTTTTGACGCGACTGTCTCTGATATCAAAAGAGAGAACCAGTGTGTAAATGTATTTTTCTTCCAGTGCATTACTCTCAACTTTCAACTGGGTTTTTTGTTGTTGTTATTGTTTTGCAGTCCCTTGCATTATCATGACAGAGGAACAGCGTACTCTGGAGCTGCACCAAGCAGAAGCGCCGCAACCAGCACTTACGGACGAAACGCTTATGTCTGAGCAAGATGGCGTTTTTCTCAATTTTTATTCTTGTACATAAATCGTTCTGTTATTTTTTTTATTTTTTACTCTTTCTGCTGGTCTTGTTGTCTGTGGCTGTGAACTAGCACCATTTGCTTACTGTTGGAAGGAACTGTAATGTATATAGTCACAATTTCTGATGAATCTCTTGTATAAATCATTACCAAGGCCGATGATATAAACACTGTACAGAGCTGTTTTGCTTTTCTCTCTGCCACAACACAGACTGAGTCGTTTTACCATTTCTGTTTGTGTTTCACTGATGAAATCAACATGTGGGCATTTACCAAAACGATAAATCATGCTGTGATCTTCATAAACAAGGGCAGATATTTATGCGGTCAAAATAGAAATGATTCAGGTTTTATTTGTGTTGTTTTGTACAGTTTTGTAATGTACTGTTAGGAGAGGGTGGAGAACAATTGTTTTGTTTCAATTGTATTTTTTTTTTACTATTGAAGACAATAAAATACGTGTAAAAATGAAAACTGGAGTTTTATTTGATGTTTTTGTAATCACAAAATGTTGCAATTCTAATACTTTTAAAATAAAAATATTTTCCCGTATACTTCCCATCATTGGGATCTGTCCTTAATGCCAAATGTACCAATTCCTGCTTTGATCCAAGCTCACCTGACCTCTGACCTCTTTCTCAGAGAATTTATGGAGTATTGTTAAGAGAATGAAATGAAACACCAAACCAATGGCCTCTTCGGCAGAACACTGCATTCATTCAGTACTTATGTAAAAGGAGCCCTAACCAAGTATTAGTCAGTACTTCCACACACTTTGACAGTAGTTGGACATTTCTGTATTAAATGTCCTTTGTTGGCTGGGTTTTGAAATGCTGAGATAAGTTAACTTTATTTAAATGTATTCAAATTGACCTGTAAGGACACTGGATATTGGGAAAGGGTCATTTTTTCCCATCACTGTCAGGCAGACGTAAGTTTTGTAGGGCGACAGCTCCTCCAGCAGCGGCTTGAGACATACTAGGAGTGCCACCAGTGTTAAAATAGGCTGTCCAATCAGAGCAGCCCACGTCTACAGACGAACCCGGATGGAAGCCATGTGGACCAATCAGAACAATGTGGGCCAGAAAGGGAAAGCGAAGCCGAGAGCAGTCTGAAAGGTGTCGCTTGCAAACTCCACAGAGTGTCAGTGGTTTGATTTCACCGTCCTCTGGTTAGAAGGACGTCATTCACTTGCGAGTAAAGTCTTGTGGCTGTCGGTTGGAGCTGCTGTCAAACGTCTGTCTTCGGCTCAGGAACCTTCCAGAGGCTCTCCTCTGTTCCGCCCGGAGGAGTGTGGGGGACGGGACCGTAAATACACCTCAGGAGCAGTTCCTCGGTTCTGTCAGAACGGGCTCAGTCGTTCTCAATGAGCCAGAGGAGCAGCTTGAGCCCCAGCTGAGCCGCGAAGTCTGTCTGTCCCGGCGTCCCGGTGTGAGCAGACCCAGACATGGAGCGGTGTTGGCGGACAGGAGGAGCCAGCGGGCTGCTATGCTCCCTGTCTCTGCTCTGTGTCCTCTTGGACATCCAGCTGGACGGTAAGACCGCTGTTAGAGCTACAAACAGGTGGATTACTAATAAAAATACAAACACACTGACAGATACAAACACGGTAGGTTTATGTGGGCTTCAGTCTGATTGGCGCATGACAAAGTCAAGTCCCCAAAGTCCACGTCTCTTCCGCAGAGGGACGTTTCGTCCTGACGCTGGAAGACGCTTCCCAATGTTCAGAGGCTTTTAAAAATAATTTTACCACCTGACAGTTGTATTGTGTTGCATCAGATGAAACGTTAGCAGCTCATATTGTGGCAGAGACTCTTTGTCCGGCGGCCGCAAACGCAACAGAGCCTTAAAACGAAACCAAACGACTAAAAAACACAAGGAAATGAAAACCTAACTAATGCGTAACAAGATAAACAGAACTTAAAATAAATGTTTCTAGGATATGATTTGTTGCATAAGCTGATCTAATGATGTATTTTCTCTTTAGCTTTTAATTCAAAACCACAGTTTCTACCAAAAGAACCTGCAGCTCATTATTATGTCTCTTTTGATTCTTTCACTTATTATTTAACAAACAACTGGAATTACTCAGGATCTGTAAAATAAAACACTTTTTGTATTTGAATTAAGGAAAAATCAGTTTGTCTTTATTTTCACAAATTCCCTAAATATTTTGGGTAGAATGAGGATAAAAAATAAACCTCATTCTATAGGCACACTTGTATCAAAATATACCAAGATTATTTTTAGAAAGTTACAATTTGAAAATTGCATGAATTTTCCCTATAGTTCAAAGTTTTCCTTGATGATGTAACAGAGAAAGTGCCTTAGTGGTTAGTAACCAGACTGTGTAGTGCTGCACACTGCCGGTCAGCTGTGTGCAAAGAAGGCTACTGCATGTTTTTCTAACTTACAAGTAAGACACATTTGGATGTTGGATAATAAATCTGTTCATAAAAAAAAAACAAACAAAGAAGTTATGGTTTGAAAACTAAAAAAACACCATCTATTGCTCTTGTTAAGCAAATGCTTTAAATTTAATAGGCGTCTGTAATAACTTTGGTTTAAGTCTGTGTGAAAATAATCACGTTATTTTTACTGCAATAACTGATGGATTGTATAATTTTAGAAATACGTGTTTTGTTTCCGTTTTCAAATACAAGCGGTTGGATCAATAGATTTTTTTTGTATTAAAATTTGGAAATACTGTGAAATGTTTTTCTATTTTGCTAGAAAGTTTACATTTCCAGTTTCAGTTAAGTTATTTGCACCTGGACTGGGAGCCGTGCTGGCTCAACAGGTGGCACTTAGTCACTTAGTCATCAGAGAAGTGTGAGAACAGGTGAAAATCCTCGAAACCAACATATAAAGCGACAACACAAGCAGCCTTCATCTGATTGGCTGTGGTACCAAGTGGGATTTTAAGCTCCGTTTTGTGTTACAGGTGTCCTGGGCGCGAGTCACGCCGAGATAGAGCACCACTTGGAGATGGGTCGCAAACTCCTGGCGGCCGGTCAGCTCGCTGAAGCCTTGTCCCACTACCACTCAGCTGTGGGTAAGGTTATCCCAACACTTTCCCACATTCATCCCTGCATCTGCTTTCTTTTGACCTTGTTTTCTAATGCGAGGTACAAAATCACACGTACAAACTTTTTTTTTTGTGGTTTGAATCTGGCATGACTTTCTAGTCTCACATTTGACCCTGCTGTAAATTAGTTCCCCTGATGTTTTCCAGAGGGAGACTCTGAGAACTACCTGACCTACTATAAGAGGGCTGCTGTGTTCCTGGCCATGGGAAGATCTAAGTCCGCTCTGCCCGATCTGACCCGGGCCATCCAGCTGAAGCCCGATTTCTTGCCAGTAAGTCGTTAATGGACCTCACCGAAGAATTTTAAAATGCCGTTGCACTGTTCTTTCTCCCACCGTCTGACTTCTGCCTCAGGCCCGTTTGCAGCGAGGAAACATCCTGCTGAAGCAGGGCAGCAGTCAAGAGGCCAGGGAGGACTTTAGAATGGTGGTATGTTTAATATTTATGCTCCTATATGGTTCATTTTTAAAAGTAAAAAAGAAAATGTTTCCAGAAACTTATTTCATTTAATCATCTTTTAAGAAAAACATTTAATTTTAAGGGGTGGGGAAAAAACAGTTACTTAATTGGGTGGAATGCTAAAGCTTAAGTTTGACCAAGAATCTAGAAATAAATGGTACGTACACTTTTATTTGGTGCCAGGAATTAGTGAAAATGTTGCACCTATTTTATGCATTTCTGCTATTTAAATCACAAATTGTGGATTCCGCAAATAACTTGCATTACTTTGAACAATATTCTCACTAGGACTGAAACGATTAACCAGATCAGTCGCGATAATTCGATTATAGAAGCAATCATAAACTAATTTGGTAATTGATTAATCGACCCAACCATTTGCTGAAACAACACACTCGGATGGAATTTAAATTGTTTCCTTTTTTATACCGATTAATGGTCAGAATATTTGATTCACTAAAATAATCATCTGTTACCTCCCTACTTCTCTCAAACGTTGGCAAAACAGGAACTCGCATAGCTCAGCTAATGATATTTAGCTTCAATTTGACTTTTTCGGTCAATGTTTATACTAAAACACAACATATTGAATAGTACACTGTGGGAAAATGGAATCCCATTGTAGTTGTTTTTTTTCTTTCCCCCAGCTGCAGCGCTCTGCAGACCACAAAGAAGCCCAGGAGCAGCTGATGAAAGTCAGCGATCTGGAAGACTTCCAGGAAGAAGCCCAATCTGCGTACCACCAGGGCGACTACAGCGGCACCATCAGCGCGTTGGACAGGGTCATAGAGGTACGTTGGACTGCATCGTTCGTCGAACTTCATTGTACGTTGGCGCCAATTCTTGGCAGTGGAAGTCCACATAGAAACAGGCAGCAGTAGCTCCATCAACATCTTTGTCTTTTGAAGAAAAAGAAAAATAGGATTTGAAGTCCTTCAGGTGTTGCGTTTCTTGCTTTTGTCAAAATTGCTAATGTCGGTTTCTGTCTCAGATCTCTCCCTGGGATCCAGAGTCGAGGGAGCTTCGTGCAGATTGTTACTTGCGAATGGGGGATCCTCAGAAAGCCATCCAGGATCTGACTCCCGCAGCCCGGCTTCGCAACGACAACCGCGCAGCCTTCCTGAAGCTCAGCAGGCTGCTGTACAACCTGGGAGAGCATCACGACTCCCTCAAGTGAGCGCTGTGCCGTCTGCCATGCAAACGGAGCAATTTCCTTTTTTTTGGGCTTCTGATAATTCGTTTGGCCTTCCTGTTCCTTCATTCCCATCTGTCGCTTTGATTCTCTCCAGCCACATTAGGGAATGTCTGAAGCTCGACCAGGACGACAAGGAGTGTTTCAGCCACTACAAGCAGGTGAAGAAGCTCAGCAAGCAGCTGGATTCTGCAGAGGAGCTGATCCAGGGGGAAAGGTCAGTGCCTTCGCGATTCCTTTAAAACATTTATGAAACACTATCAACCCTTTGTGGAATATTTAAAAGCTGAAGATTCACACTTGCTTAGAGATTTTCATCTGAGATTTCACGCATTCTTTAAAAGTCTGGAATTTGCTCATGACGTTTTCCAGAACTGGATTTGTGGATACAAGTAAAATTGAGTTTGACAAAAAAATTTTTCCTTCTTCCATTTCCCAAAAGAGGAGAATCTAACTCATAATATCGATTAACCAATATTATTCAGACAGGTTAAGGAAGCAACTGAACTAATATCAGCTCAAGTTCTCTATCTTCTCCACAATCAGGTTTCAAGAAGCGATTGAGAAATATGAATCGGCGATGAAGACGGAGCCGAACATCGCTTTCTACACCAACCTGGCAAAAGAGAGGATCTGCTTCTGTCTTGTGAAGGTGAGAAAGAAAATGCCTCCACACATTTAGGATTGTAATAACTTGAGAGACGGCCAGTTTTTTTTCTCGGTTTTGTCTCAAATTTCTTGTCGCTGTTGTAGCTCCAGCTTGCACCTGAAGCCATAGACGTCTGCTCAGAGGCTCACCAGAGAGACCCTCGA